AAAAGCCCAAAAGCAAAATTATTTAACGAATGGAGATTCATAATAGTAGTACCAAATACTTAAGAATTGATTAAAGTAATTATCAGTGTGAGTTAAATTTTATTTAAAATTATGAATTAAATGTAACCCCATGTTTTTAAGTTCCTGATAAATTTCATCACTGTTGGTGTATTTTCCACTAAACTTAGAAGTTGCGATTAAAAATTTGAGTTCCACTAAAGCTAATATGTTTATTTGTAAAAATTCCAAAAATTAAATCACTACATATTGATAGTACCACGCTAGATGTTATTCTTTCTATGCATTTTCATTTCAGTGGAGCTGCAGATCGGCAACCAACTGCGGTTTGAAATTGCGTTGTTATCCATAATCGGCCCATAAAATCCGGGACCGAAAATTATCATTATGAAGGACTTTTGTTTTAAAATCATTTCATAATAGTTATTTTAGGTTTTTTTCGATTAAAAATAATCGTTATTAATATTTTTCCGATAATTTTAACTCGTTATTTTATGATTTTTAGTTTTTTCCGTTTATAAACGTTATTTTCAGATTTTATTTTTTATATCATAAAAGATTTACATCAGTAACCCAGTCTCTATTATAACGGTTAAAAATGAACTAAAACAAACACAAATCCCAAATAACGATTTTTTTCTGATCGAAAAAAATTAAAATCACAAAACAACGATCAGAGATGATATAGAAAAAATAAAAATCACACAATAACGATTGAAAATTATTGAAGAAATATTTATATATTTATTTGTTAACAAACAGCCTACGGCTAATACAATTGTTCTTATCGTTCCCACGACAGTCGGGTCTACGTAACCGGAACGACCCAGATTTATATCTGGCCAAGGACTGTCACTCCAGCAACACTCCCCAAAAAGTCTTTGGGGAATTTGTATGCTGCTACAACAACAACAACAACAATTGTTCTTATATACAAATAAAATTTCAAATTTACCAGAATCACCGAATAACGACTAAATTATGATTTTTGATATAAAAACCATAACGGTTACGGAATTATAAGGAAGATATTTTCTATTATCAAGCATTTCCTTGGACATGCTCTCCACATTTCAGTGTTTTTAATTTATAACGATCTTGGTACAAACGAAAAATTAAATAAAACCTGATTTATGGAACTAAAGAATGGAACGAACGGAATCGCAGTTATTTTAATATATCCCTTTCGCGTTATCTGGCATCTTTGTTATACTGTCATTAAAGTAGTTAAGAACGTTGGCAACTCTAAATAGTGTTGCCAGCTCATTTGCATAATAGGTGTGTACTCGTATTGAGTGGACAAAATTATCCAGCAGCGAAAATTCTGAACATTTAGCAGCATTTGCTCTCAAAAAGACAAAATATCCACAGAAGTACGAGAACGTAAAATTTGCAAAAAAACTTACAACTTTCCAAACAACTGATCACTTCCACAGTTTCCACTGGTGGTTCATTTGGCAATTTATTTCCTGCTTGGTATATTTTCCTCAGATTTGGCATTTTATACAATTGATTAGTTTTGGATAAGAAAACCCTTTTTAAAATACAAATTAATTATATCGGAATGAATAAATTATTTTTCTCATAATTATTTGTGATATAACAAATAACATTCAAAAACAAGGGAATATCCTCCAAACACCCATTATTGATCCAAAAAAATTATTAGATATAGCTACAAATGTAGGTTTAAAATTATAAAATTTTCATTTCAAAAATCAACCGACTAAAACCGACAGACTGGATGAAAACCAGCAGAACAAAATGAGTATACGTACAGGAAGTTTGAACAAAGAACGTAGATAACTACGATTATCTACGTTATTTGGTAAAATGAGTTTTGGGTGGAGCACGTACGTTCGCCTTTTATCCATATATATACATTTACATGTGCATTTATATACACAAAATACTTCAACATAAATCTACCAAAATGAGAAAAAATTTACCTTTATACCAACTTAAATTTTTTCTACCAATTTGGTAACAATTTCCTAAAGTGGCAACCCTGGTGGTGGGAGACGAGAAAAACAAAAATTTTTTCCAATAGTTAAAAACTTTTGTTTATAATATAAATTTAAAAGTATTGAAGCGAGTATAAAACTCTTAGCACATAGTAGTTTACATCAGCAAGTATATTGCTAACGTTAACCACTATAACAGTAAATTAGATGTTAATTTAGAAGGTACGAAAACAATAAAAATATATGCGGATGGATTAGAAGCAGCCAGAAATTTTAGTGAAGTGACCACAACTAAATTGAAAAGGAATAATTTTTCGTGTGTTACACGTACTAGCTTGCAAAGATAACCGATATCCAAGGCGTAAGGCGTGGTAAGCGTGGGAAGGGAAAAGGACCCTCAGCAAAAAGACCATAAGCATCGAAATTGCTGGCCAGTGGAGGCCTGGTACAAAGCGCCGTGATGAGCAGTGGCAATGCTAGTTCTGAACATGACACTACAGGACAGAAACTAAAGACTGAAGCCTGTAAAACGGGAAAAGAAAATGGATGGCTGTCGTATATTGTACCCAGCATGCAGAGAAAAATTACAAAACTTAATTATGACTTGATAGAGGAATGTAAACGGTGCAAGGAAGATTCAAGTTTATCCAAAACGATATGTGATGAATTAGAAAGGTAAGCCAAGAAATGTAATTATTTTCTTAAAAAAGATTAATCTAGATATGTTGGTTAAAAAATAAGATATAACATGACAATTTTAAAATAACAAGGTTAAAAGTTATCTGCAGGGCT